AACATTAAATCTCTGGATTTTTATTCACTGCAGGTTATTACAGTCATCATAATCTCTGTGTTTTAACTCACTGCAGTGTTATATTTTCTTGCTATATTTGATACATGATATTTTTGTGTACTGCATTAAGATTTGTCTTCCCACCTGAAAAATTACTCAATTTACAATTATATTAGTACCATAAAAAAAGGAAGTCACAAACATGATAAAATGGTACAAAATACTGATAAAAAACTTTTATAAGTACATGCCATAAAGTAATCAGAAACAATATACTTCAAATTCACCCACAAAAAAACTATTCTCCCCTCAAGCACTAATTTTATTCTAAACTCAGTAATGTTCACGGCTGATTTTAAAAGTGCTAGAACATGTACTGTACTCAAGAAAGCCACATGTTCACTAACAGTGAGTTATTCATTAACATCATCTTCCTACTCAGGATGTAAATATATGGCAGTCCTAATTTTCTTTCTCTTCTTTGAAACTTCCAGAATGTTAAAACAGTCACCTTTTCTAAAGGTAAAGGGGACTTGTAGAATGGCCTGACTATGTGCACTATTGAAAATGTGTGTCAGAGTGGGAATAACAAGATAATAATGTTTGCCTTTATGGTTCAAACAGTCAAACTGAAAGGTGTCTGCAAAGACTCTTGTGATACTGAATGACTGTGCAAGCAAATTGGATATGAAAATTAACTGTAGATCAGTGCAAAGTAATGGAATAGGAATAAATAATCTTCTTTATGTGATAGATGTAGTCCATGGCTCCGAATTAGCTTATACCTCTAAGAAAATGATCTGATAACGACTGTATTTTCCTTTGGAATGCTCACTTGCACTGAAAAAGACAAAAAAAGCACATCAAGCACGTAAATGTCCCATGTCCAGATCCATTTCCCATGTATTTGTCCCATATTTCCTGTACTGACATTGCTGTCCACCATGTCATACAGGGGCACTTTGTAGTTGATCTGCTTGCTGGTTCCTTCAGGAGAAGCGTCAATGGATTTCAATCATGTTCATCATAGTTTGAGAGCTCTGTTCTTTAACATCTAGTTACTATTTCAAGGGCACTGTGTGTATGTAAAGAACCCCAGGGCTGTCACAACAAATTCGTATTTGACTAGCTAACATCAGATTGGTTCACTGTGTATGCATAGCAGAAAAGGAGACACGGAGAGACATGGATGTTTACCTCAATTTCTCTCAAGTGAATTACTCTGCAGTACTTAACTAAGCAAGTTACTCAGATGGCTTTGTAACACTCCACTGACTCTGGCAGAATTTCTTCACAGATACTCCTGGCAATGCAATTTCAGGTCTTCCTGGTGGCATGATACCCCCACCACATAGTGGTATTCCTGCCAGGAGGAAGAGCCAGGAAACACATGGGATATGTCTCGTTAACGCTACCGAGTTACCTTTATGTGCATCATCCTCACAATCCTCTCTAAGTTCAGGATGTTCCAGTGTTACAGAAAATGCACAGGGATCTCAGGACATGGAAGTAAGGAGCATGGACAGCCGTATCAGGAGAGCTGAGCAGCACTACTGCCAAGGTCATCCACTGCTTGGTGTTGAAGGTTTTATCTGATCACACATAAGCAGCATCAGTTCAATGCCAGACTGAGAAAATTCAGGGTCTCTTCCATCTCCCTCTCAGAACTGGATCAGAGCCTAAACACGTGAAAGTGACTCTAGAAATGAACAGGCACCCAAGACATTATACTTTGTGTGAATCAACACACTCCAAATGCTGTGATGGGAGGTACTCTCACAGAATGAAATCTGTCCAAGTCCCAAAGTATGGCCCAATTATTGGACTTTCACAGCCGACATTTGTGTAGGATTCTCTTCCATGTATCATTAAGGATGGAGGAACAGATGACTTTAAAACATTTCATTTCATTATGATTCACCTCATAGTGTTCACATTATATTTTTTCTCACTTGCTAGCAGAAAGGTAGGGAGCCTTTTCATGAACTGAATCATATTCCTATATCATAGATAGACTTGGGCTTTTTTTTCTGGGAATTCTAAAATCAATATAAATTCAGACTTATTGGCACGATAACCACCTTCAAACGAATAAACCTTAAACTGAAGAAAGGTCTCCAGAAAGAATTACAGTGGTGAACCATGAAATGAATGTCCTGGGTCCTGTTACGACATGATATGACATAATTTTTAAAATAAAATAAAAATATAAACAGTAATTTTATGAATAAATAATAGCCAAGCACTTTGTTTTGATTTTTTTCTTTAAATAGAACCATAAAAATATGGGAGCTTATTTGAAACTTATATTATTCTTTACAGGAACCTTATGACAGACATTGACCAACATTTTTCCAACTAGTTCTGTGGATACTTAATACTTTATCAGCTGGCAGAATATCTCACTCTGTTGAATAGAAGCCTATGTTTTTAGAGAAGCAGATATTTATCACTGCCAATACTGAAGTCTCAAGGAAGTTGTCACTGTTAGAGTACCACTGATATTATCCTGTTAAACCATGCAAACACAAAGATGTACATATATATCCTTACACACATATACACATATGTATGAATTTAATGAGCATATAATTTTAATTCTATTTTTGTTTTGATTTGGTTTACTTCATAGGGAATTGAGAAAACATCATTGGATCTGTTCTATAAATGGGAAACTGGAATAATGATCCCTTCGAAGAACATTTAATGGCGATGCCCGAGCAATTCTTTGAGTGAGGAACACACCTCCAGGAGGGACACCCTCCACTTTGATCCCTGCTCAAAGGAGGGCTAATCATGAGGAACAAGTCACAGTCCTTTTTGTGCCTTCCTGCCAAGGGAGCTCTGTGCCTTTGCAGTAGGCAAGGCATTTCCAGCTGAGGGTATGAAGAATCCTATGTGTACTGTGCTCACAACCATACAAATAGAGAAAGACTAAAGAAAGCTATCATTCAAGAGCCCTATCCTGGGAGCCCCAAACTGAAACTAAACTGCTAACTCTTGAATATTGCAATGATAGTTGCTGCTGAGTTCATGACACATGAATGCTGCATAAATACTTCAAAATATTTAAGATAGATCATTGGATGACACTCCATATTTGGACCTGGGAGGTTCTGATCCTGTTCTGCTAGTATGTTAGTGTGCCATTTCTGAACATGCTTCATGTCATGCTTCAAATTCTTCATCTGTTGTTTCATAAAACTCTTGGGGATAGATTTTGTCCCACACTTTGTTGCTGTGTGAGCCACAAAGACAAGGCAAAAAGGAAGCCTGGCTGCAACAGTGGCCTCTAGCTAGTCAGGGCTAGCCATTGCACCACGCCTTCAATCAGAGATAAATTTGTGAGCTTGGCACAAACACATTGTGAGTTAAGTATTAAACAGAATTAGCACTTTTTTGGGTTCTTCAGCTATCAGTGTAAAATGTACCCACTGCATCACTAGCAAGGAAAGGTTTGAGACCACTCAGTAATGAGCACTGATGACCTGATTCAGTACAATAATTTAATAAATTAAGCAATTTGTGATTTTTTTTTACATCCTATACAACAATGCATGGCTTTTTTTTCCTTTGTGATTAGAACTGGTGATGTTCATTATGTGAAAATAGGGAAAAAGAGATATGTCTGCAGTATACAATATTCTTGCTGAAACATATTGTCAAGTTCAGGTAGGTAAAGTCATTTTACTGACAGCAGAGGGCAACACAGGTCTCATTAGTGAATAAACCCCAAAACATGTATTAAAAAAAATCATATTGACTTTTTACTGCATCTAAGAATAAACCCCAGCATTACCTGTACATTTGCTGTAGAGCCAAAATTCTGTAAGTATTAATCATTCTGAACACCTATGTAAAACATATGTGAAAGAGGAAAGCATTGACAAATACCTTTGCTTCGACTAAAACACATCAAATTTTAGATGTTGATGCATAATCTGATATCTCCATCACACTTCATTATATCCAAAAGCTGCAAATGTGTTAAGTTTTATAATAGTTTTTTTCTTTAACCCTGTGCACAGCTCCATGTGTCATCCAAAAGATGAGCTGATTATACCTAAAGCAGTACAGTACCATGTTGAAAAAGAGAAGTTTCATAATGTTTTTTTCTGCTCTCCATTAGCCTTAGGTCTGATACTCACCTGATGTCGCACTGCCTTTCCCGAGGTGTGTTTGCTTAAAAAGGACCATGTCACGACTGAGGTTAATGTTTAAAATCACATGAATACCACCTATTTTTCATTCATCTCAGGGCTAAGGGGAGCATGGCGGGGCTCCCTTCATCACAGAGATGGGCACTGGAGGAAGGTCATGCTCTGCACAGGGGCCCCAGGGCAGCATTGTGGTGCCCCTTTCAGCCCATGGCCATGTCAGATGCCAGTCCCATGACCAAAACGTGCTGGCAGTCTCCGCGGAAGCTGTGCACTCACACCTGAGGCTGCTCGTGAAAGCAAGTTATTTCTGCACCTGTTGCCCTCTCCAGAATGCTTTCACCCTGTGGCAGCCCTGGAGGACAGCACTGGAGACCCCACTGAATACACCCACCACAGCCCTCTGACAACAGAATCACAGATTCATGAGATCATCAAGTCCAACCCATGACTGACGGAACACCACCATGCCAATCAGACCATGGCACTAAGTGCCAAGTCCAGTCTTTGCTTACACCTCCTGAAACGGTAACTCCAGTACCTCCCTGGGCAGTCCATTCCAGCATCTAACTGCCATTTCTGTAAAGAAACTCTTCCTCATGTTCAACCTAAACTCCCCTGATGAAGCTTAAGATTATGACATCTCATCCTATCACTTGGTTGCTTGGGATAAGAGGCAACCCCTCATCCAGGCTGCAACCTCCTTTCAGGTAGTTGTAGAGAGTAGTAATGTCTCTGCTCAGCCTCCTCCTCTCCAGGCTAAACAACCCCAGCTCCTTATAGGACTTGTGGTCCAGACTCTTCACCAGCTCCATTACCCCTCTCTGGACTCTTTTTAGCACCTCAATGTCCTTCCTGAGTTGAGGCGCCCAGAACTGGACTGCACTTGAGACGCGGACGCAGCACTTGAGGTGCGGCCTCAGCAGTGCCGAGGACAGAGGGACAAACACTTCCCTGGTCGTCTGGCCACGCTATTTCTGATACATCGGGACGTGGCCTCTCTGGAGGCACCTCCCGCGCCGGCCCCCCGCCCACAGCGGGGCCTCCCGAGCCCGGAGTCCGGCGGCGCTGCGACACTGCCGGGGCCAGCCCGCAGCCGCCCGCCCGCGGACATGGCGGCGAGCAGGAGGCCGGCGGCAGGCGCCATGTTGAACCCCGCTGCGGAGGTGAGGGCGCCGGCCCCGCTGCCGGGGCACGGGAGGCGCGGGGGCAGCGCTGTGTGTTTGGCCGGGGGTAGCGGGAGTGCGGCTTCCCCTCCTCGGTGATGTCCGGGGAGCCACCGCCCCGTGCCCTGGCGGTGGGGGTGAGGCGCGGGGGGGAGCCCCAGGAGCCACGAGGCGTCCCGCTGCTCCCCAGCGCCCGTTTGCCCTTCAGCACGGGGAACAGCGGTTTGCCCTCCCAAGCCCCGGCTGGCCCGAGCGGGGAACAGCGGTAACAGCGCCCTGGGAAGCGGGGTTCGGTAGGTAGGGCCGTGGTTGCTTTTCCTCCTGTGCCCGCGCCATGCCAGGGATCCGAGGAGGGGCGGCGTTTCTCCCCCGAGCAAGACAGCCCCTAGCAAGACAGTCAAACTCCAGCTAGACGGGTCCGAGGATGTTTAGCAGGAACGGGAATGAGGAGCCAGGGAAGGTTTAGGTTGGACATTAGAAAGAATGTCTTCACGGGGTGATTAGACATTGGAATGGACAGCCCCTGGAGGTGGTGGAGTCACCATCCCTGCAGGTGTTTAAGGAAAGACTGGACGTGGCATTCAAGTCTAGTTGGCAAGGTGGCAAGGTTGGGCTGGATGATCTGAGAGGTCTTTTACAACCTAATTGATTCTGTGATTCTGTGAGGTTTTAATGAAGGATTTGGAGAAAAACCACAGAGTTAGCGGTATCCAGGATCAGAGTTACCGTGTGCACTGCCCCACCCGTTGTATGGGGGCAGCTGCTGGTAGATTTGCAGGCTGGTCCCCACCAAGTTTCTTGGGCCAGTGACCAAGATGAGGGTTACGGCAGCATTGCTCAGCTGCTGGTGCCATGAGTCTGACCCCAAACCTCGGCCAGACAAGGTGTCACTGCGGCTGGCTTCAGCTGCTTCCTGACAAATACATACTGGGCTGCTGCTGGTATTATCCTTCTGATATATATCAGAAGTGTCTATAAATCCACTCTACAGAAGCGGCTGACCTTGAAAAATGCAATAATAGTACTATTATGGGAATTTTTATGTATTTGTTATGTTGGTCGCTATGCAGCATTGATGTCTTGAGATAAGACATATGCTGGGCATAAGTATAGAAGGGAATTGGAGACTTCACACTTTTCAGTGTAGTACATTTAATAGTTAAATATATAAACCCACTCTTCATTTCAAGTGTATTTCACATAATTTCAACCAGAACATCAGGTGTCTTGATCAAGACTGAAATTATGTACTTTCATATCTAATTATTCATATTATAGCAGAAAGAATTTTAGCGGACACTAATAATATCTTACAAATACCTTTTGATTATATCACGCACTACCTCTGTAGAGGGGTCAGGAACATAGGTTCTCTTCTGCATACAAAGGATTTGTTTTTGAAGGAAAAAAGTTATATAAATTTTCAGTGGAAATCCTATAAAAGAACGATAAAGTGATATCTAATCTAAGTATGGCCCTGGCAATGGAATGGCAATAGAAATAGTATAGAGCTGATGCCTAACTAAAAAAATGAACATTAAAGCAATAAAATGTCTGTGTTCATCTGAAAAATGATGAAAAGCTCACAGAAGTTCATAAAGCACGTTTTTATTAGTTACATGTTCCATTTTTATCTGAATTTATCAGCACAGTTATCCATAAAAAGGCATTGGAGACTGAACACTTACTTTTGCTCGTAGTGTGCTAAAATTGAAGTCCTTGCTAGCTCTATATAAAAATAATCTCTAAAGCTATTTTGTCAACGAAATGTATTCAAGAGAAAGAATTGCTTGTTTCTCTCAAAAATCATTCATATTTTCTTTCTAAAGTATTAAGTGAAAAAATACACTTTGGATAGGTATGTCTTAAGTACATTTTTACTCGTTTGTTTAGGCTCCTAAGTTCAAGCCAATCTGTTTTGTTGGACTTTTGTGCCAGTGCAAAAGCTCACTGAAAGGAGGATATGAGATCCACCTTAGGAAAACTTCATTTAAGTTGAGGTTGTCCAGGTTTCAGACAACCTGGACATCTGCAGGAGGATATAAGCAATATATTTTAGGACTGAAAAATAGGTGGATACACTGCCACTTAAAAGCCAGTGTTAAACCTGCACTTCACAACATGTACTTCAGTAGGTTTAAAAAATTAATGCTATTAATTCTAACCAAACAAGAAATTCCAGAGGAAGATACAAAATAGTGGAGAAATATCTAAACTCTAATGCCAAGCATGAACATGAGAGGTAACATCGTTATGGATAAACAGGGAAAAGATTGTCTGTCTTCTACAGTTAGAACAGAACATGTAAAACTCTGATTTATTTTTTTTTTTCCAGAAAAGTAAACTCTTAGTGATTTTGTCTGTGGTGGAAAGATGGCAACACTAGAGGCTCACAGCCTTAAAAGAAATGCAGAACAGTTCCCCATTTTTTACTTCTAAAAGAAATATAGTGTATAAGCCAATCTCAGTGTATTGGGAATTCTGAATTATGATTTCCCAGTGTTTGGAGGACATTGTTATGAATGCTTCTTTTATGCAGACATTGAGTAGAGGGAGCAGACCAGATGTCTGATACAATCCCAGTGGTGTTCAGACGCAGAGAGAGCATGCACACACTTCGTGAACTGTTACCTGTATAAGGCAATATGTTTAATGTATGTTGAAGAAACTAGCTTCCACTTTGAAGATGTCACAGCCTTCCTGAAATTCTTTGGCTGGTTTGCCTGGAGGAGACTGAGGGGAGACCTCATTGCAGTCTACAACTTTCTCATGAGGGGCAGAGGAGGGGCAGGCACTGATCTCTTCTCTGTGGTGACCAGTGACAGGACCGAGGGAATGGCCTGAAGTTGTGTCAGGGGAGGTTTAGGTTGGATATTAGAGAAAGGTTCCTCACCCAGAGGGTGGTTGGGCACAGGAACAGGCTCCCCTGGGAAGTGGTCACAGCACCAAGCCTGACAGAGTTCAAGAAGCATTTGGACAATACTCTTGGGCACAGGATGTGACTCTTGGGGATGGTCCTGTGCAGGGCTAAGGGTTGTACTGGATGATCCTTGTGGGTCCCTTCCAACTCAGCATATTCTGTGATTCTGTGAAATATGGATATGAACATTTGCATCCATCCAGATGAACAGTTTAGGAGACTAAGCTATATTGAATAAAAGTAGTTAATTAGTAAACAACGACACAAAGCTGCTTAGATCATATTTCTATTGCCAGATAGGTTTCTTGAGTGAGGAGGAATGTTTATAGCATCCTCTTGCTGTGGGAAAATAGTGAAATATTGTTCGTATGGTCTGCCGGATTTAACAATAATAATTATTTTTTGTTTTAAAATCTGTTACTGTTGTAAAAACATGAATGTTAGGAAATGAAGCACTTATTTCACAAAGTCCAAAGAAACGTTCTCACACAGTGAAGTTTTGGTTGGGTACTGAGGCAGGTGATGCTACAGGAATGGTATTATCATTTTTTGCTTGTCCCAGCTTAAGTTTTGCCTTCATGATAGAGGCATGTTGGGAAAATGCTAGATGTATTTCTAACAAGCTTGAGTTTTTGGTCCAGATGATAAGCTATACTCTTTAGTTTGCAGGAGACTAATTTTGTGATTAATTTATAATCACAAAAATTATTATATGATTTTTGAAGAATTGTGTGCAGCCACACAAAAAGCCTGAATCCTGTGATAAACTGCACCGTAGCAAGTCAGCTTAATTAGTGTAAAATACATCTGTCACAAACTGTGTCTTTACCATAGCTAGGTAACATTAATTCATGTCTGAGTCATCTAGTTTCATTCAACACTCTTCTGATGTGTATTTGTCACTTGTAGCCACAGTGGAAGTTCATGTTTAGAAATGTACCTGTGTGTCAAAAGCCTGACTTTTGACTTGCTTGAAGCCCCAGCTAGTACCTCATACTGACAAGCACTAGAAAGAGGCTGAGAGAGAAAAGGGATTTCTCTGCCAGCTGTGATAAGTCTTTGTCATGAAAATTTGAAAAAACAGATAACCCAATGGAACATTTCTGTGACCTTGTGCCCAAACTAGGAAATGGGATGAGAATAAAGTTAGTGAATACTGAAAAATGATCTGGTTGTAGTTTAGAGAAACCATGCAAGTGTTTCTTTATGTAAAATGGTGCAAATTTTAAAGCAAATAGAAGCACACATTATTTATACATAATTTCCAATGAAACTGTTGATGAAAAATCTCTCAGAATTCTGTTTACATTTTATTATTGCCATACTGAGTCAGAATGTATTAGAATGAATTGTGAGTATGTATAGCTGTCCTATTGTGGAAGAGATTAGCTAGTAACTCCACTCGATACTTGTAATCTGTAACTTGTTAAAAGTAAATTTAGTAATTTTTAACTCCTTAAAAGTATTTTATTAAAAAGATCAACCATATCAATAGAAATAAAGATATCAGTGGAATAATGCATTACTTTTAACATTTTCAGGGTTTCAACTAGTTACCTACTTAATTCAGTACAAGAATTCACATGATTAAGGCAGATAAAATATAGGAAAAGCTAAAATATCTTCTAGGGAGACTCAATTTCATTCTAAACTAAGTTATTAAAAGAAGTCATTAGCAAGGTAAAGTCTCTGCTGGGATGTGTGTGTCCACTCTAACATCAGCTGAATGTCCTAGAACTCAAAACAGCTGCAGCTGTTCAGTTTATAAAGAATTTTCCTCATCTAGTAATTTCTGCTGTGAAACAAGCGAGGGTGTTATTGCTCTGGTGTAGCTGTAATATTTTGAGCCTTTTCCTGAGCTCTGGCTGATGTCAAACGAAGCCAGTGGCTAAGCAGTCTGGTAAGGACAACAGCTTTTCCTATCTCATTAAATCCATGCATGTTTGTTTGATCTTATTAGAAAAATGTGCTGACAGCTCTAGTTTGGAATTGATCCCTGAGGCTTGAGAATTTCATTATGCACTCTATTGATTGTTTTATCTTTTTCCCTTTCTTTTTTTTTTTAAAGAAAATAAGAATTCTATTTTAATTAAAAATGGGGGTTCTGGGAGAAGCAGCTCCAAATCAGAATTAAAAATTTGCCTTGCACTGTGCCATTTCTCCCTGCAAACTCCCCGTTTTAGGAAGAAAGCTGTGGGAGAGTGATTTCAGTGAGAGAAACACGGGACAGAGACAGTACAGCTCCAGATTAGTTAAGAGCACTGTAGTTGAAGCAGTCACTGATGTAGAAGATACAGAACAAAGCTATTTCTCCTTAGTAGTGCTGTGCACTCTGCTGCCCCTGGATCTGTGACTGAGAGGTGACTCTTCTTGATCAACAAGGTGTCTGTGGTCACAGACAGTTGGCAATTATACTGTTGTGTTGCCTCAGTTCTTATTGTATTAACTTAGCTTTATTCATGTGGCTATTCTTTGAAGATGATTTTCTGTCTAGTTCAGAATTTTTAGAGGTGGGAGGCAGTCCTGCTGAGAGGCAGGAAGAGCTCTGATTTTTGCCAAGATAAAATAAAAGCCTCAGTAAATGGTTTCTTGGTGACATCTTTGAAATCTGCTCTCCCACTGCAGATAGGATGAAGGAATGTTTTTGGGTCTGGAAGCTGGCTGTGAGAATTCTCTGATTTCTGCTTAGACTCTTGAGTTTAAAATAACATTTGATAATTTTTATTGTTTATATGAAATTTAGGTTGCCCAAAGTAAGCCGGTGTTTCCAGGACTGTCCTATGCATCATCTCTGCTATAGCATTAACCACATTTTTTTCAGAAAATCTATTATGCCATTAGGAGTACTTGACTTCTGATCCTCATATTGGCTGTGGTTTGGATTTTCTTCTGAGGTTGGGATGAGGGAGAACTGGCGTTCACCCTTCCAAGACA